ACATCTACGGTGCGGCCAAGTTGTTTGACGATGCTTATGAGATTTTCGGATTTCTTTTCCGGGATACACTGTATTTCGAGGTTGTTGGCACGTAACAAATAATCGATTTGTTCATATTTCCTCTTGGTGTCAACGAGTTCCAGGTGCAAAGCTTCATCTTGTTTTCGCATATGACTCATTTCATTACGGTGGATATTACATTCGTATTTGAGCTTCTCAAACTCGCCATTAATAAAATTCATTGACAACTTAAATTCATTAATTTCCTCCTTCATTTCATTGAGGTTTGCGACTAGCCCCGATGTCAATGCACCCACAGCTTCCCGCAAGGCATCACGCAGTTCTTCACGTATTATTTCGCGTATCTCCGTGCGCCAGGTCTCAGCAGACAGGCCAGTATATTGTGGTGGTTCTGGCCTAGTTTGGCCGATCTTGCGGCGGGTAACGTTGAAAGTAATATCAGCTGTTGAGGTGGGTGTTGAAGGGCGCACTGGTGTACCGGAGTTATCACCTCTTGGTTGTTTACTGCGACAATGTGGACACAACCAGTTATTCGACGTTTGTTTATCTTTCACATCTTCTTGGGAAAAAATTACGCATAATGTGTGATATTGTTTCTTACAACGAACACATTTGACATTGTCATCATTTTTGATGTCGGTATTACAAGCTTCACAATTCATTATGACGGTAGTAACGTAGCCGTCGCTTCAGGTGAGTAGGGCCGTGATGAGCTGTGTTAGACAAGGACGACAATTATGTTGACTGTCTCTTATCGCAGAGGTGAGGTGTGCGGTCACCCCGCACGTTTATGCAGTATACTGTTTACTTATTATTTATTTAATTTCTATCGATAGATTCACATAAGATTGAGCACTGATACATGAGTAGTAAACACTATTATCGCTTGCGACTTTTACAGATAATTTAGATACGACTGTGACACGTCCACTCTCCGCAGAGTTCGAGAACATTGATATAAACAGATTTGATTTTCATATTCTTTTCTTTTTTTTTTAATAAAAAAGGTTTAATATCATAAACAAACACACTTTTTTCCTGTTTAAACATAATATTATATACTCATAGATAGATATTCTGGATGAATAGTTTTTTTTGTTTTATGCATGCCATTTTCTATTGTGAATGGCGTTACCGAAAATAACCATTGTTTTTAGTTATTGGATTGTTAGCTTTTATTGTTTTGATAGAATTTAATTAAATAGTTTTCGGAAATGTTTATATTATTTTTATCTTTCACTTATTCTTGTAACTAAAGGTTTCTAGTTAATACTAGTTTCTAGTTGATCCTTGCAATTAACTGATATAATAAACTGTACAATTTTAATAAGCTGTAACCACTGCGAAAATTTTCATATGCTCACCTATCAAATTTAAGTCTGTCACTATACGTGAGGACTTGTAATTGGCTTTCAGTAGTTTATGTTGACTTCTATTTTTATGTAGTTTTAGCTGTAAGTCCTCCAGAGTGTAATAAATAAATAAATAAAAATAAATAAATAAATAAATAAATAAAGAATGTAAACAATAATGTTTAAAATTTGTAAAAAATAGTGACCTATTGTTATTTTCAATTTGTTTCTATTGTTATTTATGGTGTTCATATTGGAATAGAGATGATGACAGGGCATGAAAAAATCTAATGAGTCCGTCAGTTAGGTAATGAAAAAATATTAGACACGTATTTTTTTTTATTTTGTCGTATAAGAAAACAATACTTAGATAAAACGAATCAAAGTTCAGGAGTTACGTAGCTACGTCATTTTTGAATTTAAATGGTACATAAAAGTGATGTCACGCGATATTTCAAATCAATATATCGTCGAAAGTATTTGTTTCTGTAAGAAAATAAAAAATACGTGTCTAATATATTAGATAATCTACTAGACGTACATTTAAATAAAAAATAGTCATCAACCCTATTATTGTGTGGAATCGTAACCGGTGTTTGGTTATACACTCGAATATTATTTGAGATACATATTAAATTGTCTCAAGTGCTCACGTTTATTTAAAATCAACTGATTTTTGACCTCTATCTCGCCTGGTGGTAAGCGATGATGCGGTCTACGACGAAGCACGTCGTCCCATAAGCAACCTATTCACTCGGGCCTGGAAAACTCCCAGGTTATATCCTTCAGGAAATACAGACTCCGGCAAAGAATTCCACTCTTTAGCAGTACGCACAAGGAAGCTTGAAGCGAAGCGCTTCGAGGAAAATCTACCATAAATCGGTGACTAAGGGGAATCAAGTTGTGCAATTCCCCCGCATACTCACCGAAATGAATTTGTACATTACAAAACTTAATGCCGATTAAATGAAATTAAATCGTTTTTATCAGTTCCTAATAGTTTAAGCTACGTAACTTAAAAGCAATTATATTGAATCAGAACGGTATTAAACTAGCAGACTAATTGATGATCACCCTTTGAAGCTATTAGTTGACAAAGAGGTGCGTCCTACCCTCTCCCTGGTCGTAATCCCAAAGATGTCGTTAATAGCACCCTCGAGTAAAGAGGAACCTCTCAGTAAGTATAGAAAAGGTAGTCTTATATTTTATTTACACTAACAACATTATTTATTCAAGTCTTAAGTGGCTGTACAAAACATATTTCGTTTTCTACATATCGATTCTTTGCTAGTTTTTTCCATGCTAGTTTCGATCACATTTTTGAATTCGAAGCAAGTGAAAATATTCATAGAACTAACCAAAGTACGCAAAACAAACAAACGGTAGCTAGAATTCCAAATACCTTTTTAACCCATTCAAATAATTGAACGAAAAATTTTTGTAAATATTTTTCGGCGGTTTCATTATTGTGTTTTTGCCGAAAAGCGGTTGGGAAACGCGAAGATTCTTTGTCTGAATGCAATCCCCGTAAAACGCGGACGTGTATGCGCGCCGGGTGTGCGGTTTATATTTTCTGTGGGCGACTCACAACGCTACTTCATCGGGCACCTTTCATATTTTGAAGTACTAAGTAGGTGTGGTTTCACTGCTGCGATTTATAAAATTGTAAATAAATCTCAATGGTGATAATTGCAAAAATGGTATGAAGTCAAATAAATACATTTCTACTGTAGAAAATTATTGCTCAGTAAAAGATAGTAATCTTAATAAACGCAATGTAATAATCACTGTCTTTATTTAGAAATTATGTATAGCTCTGTAGTATCTATTTTAACGGTCTTTATTCGACCACAGTCCTAAGTAATGTTTAGTTAACATGACTAAGTGGTCTACTTACAATGTACTGTATTATGTACATTGGCGACAGTTTCACTGAGTACAGTTTTGTAATTAGTTCCAGTATAATTGAGAGCAAGTTTGTTGTTTGCTACAGACTATCTGTTACAACTGAACATTATCTTAACCAAAATCCGTGTTAAGACCATTGTGATCACATTAGGACTTCATTGAAAAGATTTTCTAAATAAGCTAATCATCCAATGACTTCTTTCGCTTTAGGTGAGGCAAGAAAGTCAGACTCTTGCTGTCAAAAAACTACCCTGTTCCTACTTTTACTTTGAGCTGGAGCCCCGGTAGCCCGTTAAGTTTTTCGCGACTCGATATCGGGTATCAGCCTTACTAGGCCCCATATATAGCGGTCTGATGGCTTTTTGAGGTGCACGGGGAATGCAACGCGCCGTTCATACGAAGGCGAATTTGAGCCATAATATGATAGAAGCTGAAGAAGTAAGACTCGTATTTATATTATAATGACAAATAAATGTTTTCTTTCTTTTATTCTTTCTTTTCGGTAATAGGAAGCAAAACGTCTACAACAATCGTCTGCGACAACCTAATGGTTTGCCGCTTTTTTTGCTTATCTTAATCACGCAATAATTATGTTGTACATAACATAACATCTTGCTTTTTATTCCCGAAGGGGTAGGCAGAGGTGCACATTATGCCACTGTACAATGTAACACCCACTTTTCACTATTTATGTTACGAGTCCCATGTAATAGGGGTTGAGCCTATTGCCATATACCGGGCACATTCCGATTCCACTACTGAGATTTTTTTTTAAAACCCAGTTATACTTTGCCCGACCCGGGAATCGAACCCGAGACCCGGCAGTCGCACTTGCGACCACTCGGCCAACGAGGCAGTCAGAGTATGTTGTATATACCTTAATTATGTTAAAAAAGTATTAAAAATAATCTGCATCAACGAAATCACACCTTTACCACTGTCAACACGTCTGTCGCGCGGCGTAAATAATAAAGGCTGGAGAGCTTCCCGTGTCTCGAGACGTAAATATGTGTACACGCTACTTTTATTACGAGTGCTGCTAGTCCCGCTCGCATTTAGTACCAACTCTTGTTTCATATTAACGGTACATATTTTCGGAAAATAAGCATTTAATGGTTGCGTATAATTGTATGGGGTGTAGAAAACGATATTTTGTTAAAACATTTAAAGACCTATAATAAAATTAGTGGAAAGAAACTCAGTTTTACATAGTCATGTATTGCAATACACTGTTGTCATCGTCTCTTCGTAGAATGATACTGTATGCCAAAGTTTGTCTTCTACGGCTTTCTGATATCATATCATTCGTTCATCCGTTCATGAAACGTTAACACAGTATTCCTATCTGTTGATTAAATAAACTAGTAAAGTCCTATTAAAACCTTGTTAGATATAAATAAACAGAATCCTTTGTGAAGGATATTAAGTGCAAGTGTTATTCTGGACCTTCAATAAACAAACGGAAAGATAAACGAGTTGTAAACTAAGGATCTCTTACCTGCGCGTGTCTGCTGATACCTACATTTGGGTACTGGGTGAAAACAATTAGTGCCTAGATAATAGTGTAACATCCGATTTCAAGAACATACTCAACATAAATAAATAGTGGACGATAAAACGTGTTTGGCGCGATCACTCAGGCCTACCACTTGCCCGCGCTCACCTCTGTCAGGGGTTCTAAACATTTTTATCTTTTGATTGCCATTCTCCATCATTGCAATGAAGTGCGTCAGTTGTAGTGTGGATTTCAACGACGGTGTCCAATGTTCGTCATGTGGGGGGCACTTGGACTTTGCATGTGCCAATATTACCGAAGTTGGCTGGAGGAAACTCGGTAATGACAGAAGAGCCGCTTGGAAGTGCCCAAGGTGTCGAATTGCCTCACCGGCCCGTACACCTATCCTATCACCGATTCCGACACCTGAACCTGCATCACTCGAGACTATCTTGAGTGAGATTCGGGAGCTTAAGATGCAGTTGGCTGGCCTTCCCATTTTGTCCGAGGATGTGAAATTGATGAGAGAGGAGCTGAAGGATCTCAAAACAAGTCGTGAATTCGATGGATGTAGGTTGGATGAATTCTCGGCAAAGCTTGCAGGGATTGAGTCCAGAGTTGTTAAACTAGAAAACCTAGAGGAATCTTTGCTCTCGCTACAGACAGATGTCGACACCATCAAGTCAGAATCGGCAATGAGTGATCAAAGATCAAGGCTAAATAATGTCGAGATCAAAGGCATTCCGCAGAGGAAGGATGAAAACCTCTTTACTATCCTGGATAGGATCGGTCAGAGAGTTAACTTTCCAGTGCTTCAAAACCAAATTAATTTTATAACCAGAATTCCGGTTTTTGGTGGAAAGGATAAGCCGATTATTGTTAGCTTCCTGAACCGCTACATCAAGGAGGATTTCATTGCGGCTGCTCGCTTACTAAAGGGCCTGTCTGGGTCCGATCTGGGATTTGTTGGTGTTACTAATCGTGTTTATATTAATGACCATCTTAATTCCAACTCAAAGAAGCTATTAAACAGAACCCGATTAATGGCGAAGGAGAAGGAATATAGACACGTTTGGGTCAAGCACGCTAAGATACATGTTCGGAAACACGATGGTTCTGCTGTTCTTATCATAGCTAGTGATGGCGATTTAAACAGACTAAAATAGAATGTTATGTTGTCTGTAAGAAGGTTTGCACCATCGATATTTTAATCAGTCGTGTTAACTTAACAATATCCATTAAGTTTATAACCTTTATTGTTCCAATTTTTTTGTTTTATTTTTATTATTATTTCATGTCTTTGTATTATGTTAAAATAATTTCAAAATTTAGAAAAGGGTTGAGCTTCCCTGCCTTTTGCCGCGGTATGCTACTTGACCATTTTTTATATACCTGGGTTCTTTGTGTCGCACTTGCATATCACATTATTCAATATGAAATTATTAAACGAAATTTAATTGTCTTGCTCGCACTTATGTGGTTAATGCGTGAATTGATCTATTGCTTTCTCGTTCGCGTTGCTTATTATTTGTTCTTGGTTTATTATGTTCTACCCTTGATTTTATTTGGTTTGGATTGTCGATTGCTTGTTGTGTTCGTTTCATTCATTCACGGTGGTGTAACATTGTACTTTGCTATTGATGCGGTTATTATGTCTTGCGTTATTCCTAATGGCCAATGATACTGCTAAAAAACTATCTATTTACTACCAGAATATACGCGGACTACGCACTAAAACCGATGACTTCTATCGTCAATTATGTGTTAATTTGTACGACGTTGTTATATTGACGGAAACTTGGCTGGTGAATGGAATATCTGACTCGGAGTTATTTTGTGACCGTTATATTGTGTGGCGCCGTGATCGAGATTATCATCGTACGGGTCAAACTCGGGGAGGTGGTGTGCTGATAGCAGTGAACAAGCTCATATCAGCAGTGCCCCAGCCGCTATTTCAATCCACTGCGGAGGATCTTTGGGTTTCGGTGAGTTTACGCCATTATGATAGCAACGATTTCGTTAAATTACACCTGGGTGTTTTGTATCTGTGCTGCGAGAAACGCGGATATTCTTTTACTGAGCAATTATCAAACTACCTAGGTAGATTGAATGATTCTATAATGGGTAACCCAGATGACAAGTTTTTAATTGTGGGAGATTTTAATTTGAGTGGAATTTCGTGGCTGTCATCAGATAATAATTCGCTGATTCCCACAAATGTAATTAGCGGTGATGAGCATGCGCTGGTGGATGAATTATCTGTGTTGGGTCTTAGTCAATTTAATAGTGTCTTAAATTTCTATGGAAAAATGTTGGACTTGGTTTTATGTACTGATACCATATCTGTTAGCGAATGCCTAGTACCCCTAGCACCTATTGACAAATATCATCCGGCCCTGTTAATTGATGTAAATTTTGCTAGATCCAGTTATTTAATACCAGCGCCATATACACGGTTTCTCTATAGTAGGGGAGACTACGATGCAATCAACAACGATTTATCCAGTATTGATTGGGATATTATTTTTGGAAATTTATCATTGGAGGATTCAATTAGTCACTTCTATAAAGTTTTATCGGAGATGCGCTCGAAGTATGTCCCAAGCAAACTTATATACCCTAGCACTTATCCGATCTGGTATTCTCCGTCACTTAAGCGGCTCATAAAGGAGAAACATAAGCACCTACGCAGATTTAGGTTATATGGTGGGATATCGGATGGAGCGACATTCAGGCTTTTACGCGAAAGGGTGAAAAAGGTTGAGAGTGAATGTTATGCGAATTATATCGCTTCTACTGAAGCATCTATCGGGAGAAACCCTAAGTCTTTCTGGTCATTTGTAAAGCACAGATCTAAATCTACCTCAATCCCCAGTTATTTTAAACACAAGGATGTATCGATTTCCTCGCCCGAAGAAATTTGCAATGCCTTTAGCTTGCATTTTTATTCCAACTTTCTTGCTCCGACTGGTGTTGATTCCGACGTTACTCCTGAATGTCCTAATTCCATATTGGATACTTTGTCTAATATTGGCGCGATTGAGATAGATGTCGAACGTGTCAAAAAATTATTAACCAATCTTGATTCAAGCAAATCGGCTGGTCCTGATGATTTGTCCCCCCAGTTTTTGATAGGCTGTGCAAAAACTATCGCTGTGCCCGTTACTATGCTGTTTGAGAGATCTTTGACTGAATCTGTCGTTCCTCAGATTTGGAAGTCAGCCTATATAACACCAGTGCATAAGAAGGGTTCAAAGAATGAAGTAGCTAACTATAGGCCAATATCCAAACTTTGCATATTGGCAAAGGTTTTTGAGAGAATCGTGTATGATCAGGTTTACGCTGCGGTTAGGAGCTCGTTTAGTCCCACGCAACATGGTTTCCTGAAGGGTCGCTCCACAGTATCGAACTTGATCTTACTAAATGACTACTTGACTGACAGTATGGATGGTGGGGCACAGGTTGATGTCATTTATACCGACTATAGCAAAGCCTTCGACAGAATTGACCATAATATCCTTAAAACTAAGCTATATCGTATTGGTATATGCGGTGACTTACTCAGATGGTTTGCATCCTACCTAGAAAACAGGTCTCAATCTGTCGTAGTCAATAACTACATATCTAGCTGGGTCAAGATTCCAAGCGGTGTTCCGCAGGGATCTCTAATTGGCCCCCTACTTTTCATCTTATACGTGAATGACATTGACCTCTGCTTCCATAGCTCTAATCTTCTTATTTTTGCCGACGACATGAAGATTTACTCCAAAATAACATCGGTGGAGGACATGCTGGCTCTCCAGGATGACTTAAAGCGCCTGGATGAGTATTGCCAGTTGAATAAACTTGACCTGAATCCCGCAAAATGCTCAGTGATTACTTTTAGTAGAAAGCGGTTCCCGATGATTCATCCATACGAGCTGAAGGGTCAGGTTCTGCAAAGGTGTGACGGAGTGCGAGATCTTGGTGTTTATCATGATGCAAGACTTCGGTTCGATATCCATATTGATCAAATAATAGCTAAGGCTTCGAAAGCGCTCGGTTTTGTCATGAGAATATCTGGGTGTTTTAAACAGGCAAAGACATTCAAGATTTTATACTGCACATTTGTAAGAAGTAGCCTCGAATATGCGTCTCAGATATGGAACCCATATTATCATAATTATATCGATCGAATTGAAAACATCCAGAAGCGGTTTGTAAAATCTTTATGTTATCGCTTGAAAATTGACTATCACAGTGCTGACTATCTAAATCTTTGCAAGAGATTTCACTTGCAACCCCTTGTAAACAGGCGTAGATTGGCGGATTTTTCATTCATGTTAAAAATACTATCTAATGACATTGACTGCCCTAAAATACTGCAAAGACTTCATTTTAATGTTCCCCGTAAGTCATTTAGGTTCAGTGTACCGATATCGATACCTACTTCCTCAACCAACTATCGGAGTAATTCGTATATTGTGCGAGCGAGCAATGATTTCAATAAACTGTGCAAAGAGTTTTCATTCGACCCATTTAACACAAAACTTACTGTGGCACGCAGGCAGCTGAACCTTGATTTCTTTAATTCATAGTGGGTACCTATATGGTACTTAATCATTGGAGTAATTTGTGCATCATTATAGACTGCCTGTGGTTTAATGAGTTTAATGAGTAATTTTAGTACTGTGTTAGCATGTTTCTACTTTCTGTTACTAATCGTGGAAACCAGTAATTGGCTTCTTGTTGCATACCACATTCTTTTTAATCAAATTGTATAGCTGTTGGTTTTCCAAATGTATAAATAAATAAATAAATAAATAAATATGGTTCCCGATGATTTTTATTACCACAATGGTCAGTATAACTTTATGTTTCACTTTCATTTCTATGCTACTCTTCTTTAACCGACTTCAAATAAGGTGGTGTATGTAAGTACGTATATATACATACCCCCCCCCCCCTTTTTGCATTTTAATGCAGACCCATTTCTGCGCGAATATCTCACGGTTTTTAGAAACGTATTTGGTTACATTTAGGAGACGGAGAACTTCAAAAAGAAGAGGTTGTTGTCAATTTTTTTTTATAACGTCATATATTTTATGAAAAAAAATAATATCTTCTTTTCTATTTACATACATACATACATACCATATCTCATTTTAGGTTTTCCATTACTCTACCTACATACATTTCCGCGTAATTACACAATTTTAATCCAAATCGCTTTAAATATAAAAAAAAACCTTAACAACAAACACGTGTATCGTTTTAAAGTGAAACAGAAACCAAAAAGAATGTTTAAGCTATACGTTCCTAAAAGTTTACTAAAGTATGTGAAAGAGCCGGCCACAGTACGGGCCGACGGTATATTAAATTGGATACTCACACTAAAATCTCTCCAGTAAATTTGAACTTTAGACTCTTCAGGAATTCTTTGCTAAAGGCGAATTTACGATGAAACCATCAAAAGAAATAGTATGAGTATAGTAGAACAGTAGTACAATGTCGTGGTGGCCTGGAGGTTTAAGACGCCTGCTTTTCATGCATGAGGATGCTATTTCGAATCCTACCAACGGCCAGTACCAATGTCACTTTACCGAGTTATACATACTTACTAATTATTTACACACCACTGATAAACGGTGAAGGAAAACATTGTGAGGAAACCTGGTTGTACTCTCATTAGTAAGACCACTTCTAGAAGTGTAGTTCAAAATGTATACTAGGCTTCGAGGTCTATTTCTAATTTGAATCTAGTTCAAATGTGACATCATCCACAACCTGTGACAGTCTATGCTCGATTATGAGCTATATCTATAAATATAAATAACACCAAAAAAGATATAACATTACTTATTGATTATTTAAGAAACAGTGAACAATTCGACTGCACGGTTGGTGCGGTGGCTGGGCAACCGGCTGTCGTGCAACGTGTCGCGGGTTCGATTCCCGCACGGGACAACACTTTGTGTGATCCACAAATTGTTGTTTCGGGTCTGGGTGTCATTGTGTATGTGAACTTGTATGTTTGTAAACGCACCCACGACACAGGAGAAAATCCTAGTGTGGGGCAACGATTTAAAAAAAAAAAAAATTGTTTGTTAAGATTTTCTATCCATGGTAACTCAAATGTGCGATGTAGTATTTAGTACGGCATCCGTTGATTTGCTCATCAATCGTC